ATTAAATAAATTTTATTAAAAAAAAGAAGATATATATCATCTCTTTCATTATTATATATAAAACAATAATTTTATAACATATATACAAATTATAATAGGTAAATTCAAGAATTATAATTTAATATCTTTTTGTGACTTATACTTTTTTTTATATAATTACAACTTCTAGGAAATAAAACATATACATACATAAGCTCTTATTAAAATATAATATGATTGCAAAAAAAAGTGAACTGTAAAATATCTACTATAAGTTATAATAAATATTAATGTATATAGGTACATTTTTCTTTTCATTTGAAAAATATATGATTGTTCCTATTAATTTAATTATATATTTATTTATAAAATAAATTTCATTAATTAATTTAATAAATGAGTATGTTACATATAATAGTTGTTTATTTACCATAGTATTATGTCCTATTTTTTTTTTTGTAAAAGTTACCAAAATAAAAAAAACGTTTACATGCCTTTACAATGTCGGGAATATAAATGCATTTATAAGGTTATTATATATATTAGTATTTGGAGGCAATACTTATCAGAATTTGTACAAACTTTTAATAATTTATGAACATTTATCAGTAATAGAGGGGGGAATTATTTATATACAAATACGTAATACATCAAATCAAATAAATAATATTCTTCAATATATATATATGTTATATTATATATTTATAAAAAGAATAAGTACAATAAATATAATGTAATTAAATCATACATATGTCAAATATATTGCACAAGACATTAATATATCTCCTATAAATATATAAGTTATTTCTAAAGTATAATCTAGAATGGATTTACCATAAATAATACATAGTTAAAATAAGCATACAGGATTAAACTAAAAATCCTTGAAAATGTTAATAAACACATTTTATGATTGTATAATTTGTTAATAAAATAATCTCATGCAATAGATAAAATATTTAATATTGTGATGAAAGAAATAAAAATTGTTAATATTATTTCTGTGTACATATAAATTCTAAAAATAACATAAAATAAAAAATAAAGTAATCAGAATAAAGCATGACACATTTTATAAAAGAATAATATTTGTGATAAATACAAATGAAAATAATATATAGATACATTAAATTCTAAAATATATATTTTTCCTGTTATAATATATTATAATTTTATTAAATAATATCTTTCGTTGAATAATAAATGATAAAACTTTACAAATAAGGAAATTACATAAGTGAATACATAATATACAACGAAATTTCTTATGCAAAATAGAGTTAATTTAAATATGCAATTCTATTACTGAATAACAAGATATAATTATAATATAAATCCATCAATAACTTGCATGCTAAATATGAGTAAATGTACATGTATATAATATTATTTTAAATTGAATTATAAATAAACTATAAATATTGAACATAATTATATTATTAATGCATATGTTATCAAGTAATCAGATATACTTTATTTGTTTTAAGTTAATTAATATTATTAACTTTTATCTATTGTTATACAAATGTAGCTAAATTATTAAATGATAAATCATATACCACATTAAATTCAGTATTTTTCTATATATTTTTCTGTTAATTACATATTGTAATTAAAAAAATTTAAAAATGTACATATATATATATAATATCACATCTTAGTACACTACACAATCTTTTTTAAATGAGTGCATTAGTAACATTACATAATTTTTTTATATGTATAATCGGGAGCTAACATAATTTTATTTGAATAATGAGTATATATTTTTGATTTTATTATTGTGACAAATAAGACTATATATGATCACAAATGATTACTTATATACATTTCATAGTAATATATCAGCATATTAATTGACGGCATTTTTATAAGAATCATATAATTAACAACTTGTGGATTAAAATAGTACATTGTAAAACACCTTTGTATTTAAAATTTACATTTGTTTGCTTATACTTTTTATTATTTTATTTTAATAATATGTAAAAAAGTATAACATAATCTGTGATGGATATAAATATTGTATGTTTCTATTATTATAATATATGTTTGTGTATGTCATCTAATCATTTACTATTACATAAATATTTTAAAAACTTTTTTAATAAATTATGATATTTGTAATAGTAATATATTTTTTTTACATTTAGACTGAATCATAAGATTCTTTATTTTCTGGATATAAAAAAATTATGAATCAAGATATAGATTCCTCTAGTATATACTACACAGAATGTAACTTTATTCAAAAGGATAAAAAAGAAGATAATTATTCAAAATATATAAAAGAAGTCTGTATAAAATGGTTTCCATATTTATATAATATACATTATAATCTAGGAAAAAGCGCAAAAATAAAAGAAGGATTACAATACTTGTATTATTGGCTATATAACAGTGATTACTCAAAATATGGAATAGAAATAGGAAATAACAGAGAACTTTATATGAAATTGATCAAAAGATATAGTGATACAAGTATTGCTCAGAGAATAACACCAAGCTTACCGCAAGATTTAAGTGACGAAGAATGGATAAAACTCATAGATATATGTGATTTCAACACTAAGATTAATTATATAAAAAGCTCTCTATCCGAACCTCCTATGAAAGAAAGATTTTGTCAAGATGCAAATACTTTAATTGAGAAATACATGCATCACATTGTAAAGTGTAAATCTGGAGATGATCATTATTTTTGTAATGCTTTTAACAATGCTGTAAATAAGGTTAAACAATTAATGTTAATAAATGTTTGTGACCATGTTAAGGACCAAATATTACCTTCAACTAAAAGTCCAAAACCAAAGTTTTATAACTCCAGAAATAATAATTCTGCTGCCATTGTTGTTCAAACTATTGTAATATTACTAATACCTTCTTTATTGTTTGTTCTATATAAGGTTAGTTTCGATGTTATTATATATTCATATATAATAATATATTTATTCTAATCTATCTAAAAGAAAAAATGAACTATTTAAAAATTATATTTTTAATACATAATGTTTTCCTTAATATTGAATTATTTTACCCCACATAATTCATACTTGGGTCGTATAATGATGAATATAATAAATAAATGGACCATATTCGCTAAAGAATATAATATAATACGAACATCTCCACTATCCAGTAGCGTCACATGGAATAGTAGATATAATTTATCATATGAATCTTCCTAATTTTACATTTAAATAAATAAATAAATAATATTAAGAAAACTTTTGTTTAAACTAAATATAGAATGATATAAATAAGTAATATATAGAATACTTTTATTAAATAGAACCTTGAAAACAGGACATTGAATAAATTATAATAAAGAAAACATAGATATTACTTTGCAAAAAAAAGAATATATTATTTCAAAATACTTTTTCTATAATAATAATTATTGAATAAAAAACTCATTGATAAATATCTTGCGTTTCTTGTATACTTATGCAGGAATTTTCATAAATAAAACCTTTCTAATTTTCAGTCCAGTATTTTATAGATAAAATTTAAAATATGCTTAATATAATGAATATGTACCAAATAATAACTGTGATAAAAAATTAACAGAATTAATGTAAATATATTCTTTATTTGTCATGCTATACTATAATAAAATATTATTGAATACCATTTCCAAATATTATGTACTCTTATTAATATATTTTTTTAAATTATATTAATTTTTGTTACTTTTATAATATTTTTCAGTACAGAGGATATTATGTTCTCCTACATTTAAGTTATTAATATGTGTATGTTTATTACATATATATTGATTTATATACATAGGAGCAAAAATTACAAAATTATGATTTATTTTTTACATTTTTTTTTTTTCATAGTATTGAGTTATTTTGTTCCAATATATTCCTTTTTTTAGTTTTAATAAACGTTGAATACTTTGTTAATTCTTATAGTCCCAGGATAAAATTCCTAATGTGCACCTAATGTGGATAAAATTAAAATAAAAATATACAATTATGTCTTTTGAGTTATTAGGATAAAATTACCTTGCACATACATATCAAGTTGTTTAATGAAATGAATTATAATTTCATAACTTAAACTTTTTTTTTCTTATAATTTAATTCTATTCTTGATAAGGTTATGAAATATGGAAATGATGAGTAGTACAATTTTTTCCTATTATCATGTATGTACATTAATTTGTCTTAATACAAATTTGCCTAATCAAAATTATATTTTGTAATATATCACTGCATACTCTTTTTTTAATGCAAAGGCATAATTATTTACAGCATGATATTTTAATATATACTCATATTTTGTTTATGAGTTCTTCAATTGCATCATATTTACCATAATACCGTAGCTTATGATAATTTACTACATTATTACTGAAATGATATAATTTTATTCGAATTTACCTAAACATTATTTTTTTTATTTAATTATATTATGTTTATTATATTTCTATTTAAAGTGAATATCTGTGTGTTTAATAATTAGGGCGATACTTAATACCTTCTCAAAATTTTTAAACTATGGTAATCTTCAATACATGTATATCAGTATGAATTACACTTATTATAAAGAGCTTATACGAGATATTACATCCTAATAAATTACTCATATAAATATGTATTCTTTTTTACAATGTTTAATACATAGATCACAGTTTTTTAACTCTCATATTACACTATATTACTATCTTCTCTATTATGTTAAGGGATGTTCATGTAAAATAGCTAAATAATTTTACCATAATGATTTGTTTAAAAAAAGTTTTTTTTTGAATAATGATACATCAAATATCATTTCATTATGTGATAATTTGTAAATTCATATTCTTTTATAGTTCTACAATTTCGAGTAACTCATTTTCAGCTTTACCTAAATTATTAGTTCATGTTCCAATTTTGTATAACGTAGATTCCAAGTAATTCTATTAACACATAATGAGAGTGGAATATGCTTATTGAAAAAGCATAAATTTAACATAACTAATATAAAAATTTTTACAAAAATTATATATATACTAATTTGTATTTACATTATAATAAATGTTTATGGATATAATTACTACGAACGCTGATGTGACTACTATAAAACAAAGAAAATTTTATGAGTATATCATATGTATTATAATTTGTTCCTATAATATTGAATGTATAATATACTTTTTCTCCTGATATATTAGGAGAGATAATGACTAGGTGCTGCTTCATTATTCTCAGGAGCAAATCAATTTACTTTATGTAAAATTTAACTATCTCTTGTTTATCCATATCTAGATCTTTAATATTTTTTAAATATCTCTTTTCTTAATTTCTCATATTAGAACATTAAATGGGAAAAATAAAAATGAATCATGTTTATTATCATAAATAAATGAAATTCGCACTAGAATTCGATAGTATCACTGTAACAACAACCATGTGCTTTTTGTAAATCGTTCTATAAATTATATTAATATGGATAAAATGTTTCAAAAATATTTTAAAATGATGTTCATCACAGTTACCATTTATAATATACTTATATTATTAAATTAAATAATGTTAATTTTCTTTTCTTTTTACTATATTTATTCACTTCATATATGGCATTCACATGCATCCATATAAGGAAGCCATTTAGTTATCTATATTAATAAATGAAATTTTCAACGCTGATATATTTATTTTTTCATTCTTTATCATTATTGTTTTTCCATTTCAACTTAAAAATTAGTGTTTAATATAATAACATCCATGTTGTGTTCATTTTACTATTTTTCTATCATAACTTATATATGTTTATTAAGTTTTTAGTCAATGCATTTGTTAAAGTCTTTAATGTATTTAAATTATTATAACAAAGCTTGTTATTGCTTATAATTCGTACTTTAACAATATATTCACATTTTATATTTTTAAAAAAATTAAGAAATGTTTCACTATATGATTTAAGAAGAAAATACAAATTATGGTATGTACATATGTATTTTCCCTAAAATAAATGTTTTTAAATGTTCTTTAATTAATAAAAAATATTAAAGAGAATAGTTGGTTTATATATTAAAAAGGTAAAATTACCGGACTTGTTTTTTCTAAAAGTATCAACCTATTAAATTAAATGTTAACGAATTCAAATTATAATATTTATATGCTTATATATATTTATACAATGAGTTAATAAGACATTATCTCCTAATAGATAACTCATTAGTACAAATTAATAAAATAAAATAAGTAATTAAATGTATTATAAACGTTTTTTTAATTAAAAAAACACTTTCTTCGCACTATTGCCGCCATGAAAGGATATAGATTTTTAATTATTCTTATATCAATTTGTGAAATAGATATTCTACATAATATCTATTTTAATGAGTATAATAGAGTTTTATTAATAATTAGTAATAAATGAATTATCCATATTTTCTTGCATGGGAAACTTTACCGTGTTCAAAGGATTATTATTCTTATCTTATTATATATCTTTTATTGAAAATTCAAGTTATAATTATAAAAATTATACCGTAAATATATAAGAAATATATTGATTATGCAGTAAAAATGATAGTTCTTTTTATTATTCTAATAGTAATTTTTGAATGAGTTATTTATGTGTATTATTCTTCTTCATATTTTTCAAAACAGTATATTAAAATTATCAATATCAATAATGAACTTAAAAGGATTTTAATTAATCACCATAATATAATTTGTGTTAATTTCGTTACCCATATGAAAATAAAAGAATAGAGAATAAAAATGTGTAAATAAATGGTATAAATTTATTTATATATTGGCAAATCATAATAAAACTTAGGATGCATATGTACTCAAAATATTGTACAAAAAAAAAAAAGGACTTTATTCCAGGAAAAATTTTTTCTGATGTAATAAATCAGTATTTAAAAATTAATATTTTTCTATATAAATATAAAAGAAGCGTTATTGATTAAAAATTTGAAATAAAAAATTATATTTTACTATATTAACAGTATAAAATGTTTATGTAAAAAGAGTTTTATTTTTTTAAAAAATGTATATAAGAAAATCACAATCAAATGTAATCTCACATATACTGCAATTAAAGATGGGAACACATTTGATCGTATATACACATAAATATCTTACATATTACTGTATTAAAATGTTCATTTATTCCGTTTTCAAATATTCATAAAAAGACGAAATATATTTTTCATATAAAAATAATAAATGATATAGTCCTTTGCATATTTTATTAATATGACGATTGAATTGAGATTTTGCAATTATTTTTATAAATGTAAAATGCAACTAATAATGTCAACGAGTTAAAAATGCTTCAGATTCACGGAAGAACATGTTTCTATACAACTATGTTTTTTTCTGGCATAGTTAACAGTTAGTATTAAATTATATGGAAATTTAATGCTTTTTTATTCATTATACAAATATAAATTATAGTGATATTTTATATGAAATTTATAGTTTACATCTATAATGGAAAACATATATAATTTTTGCATGCACGCGTGAAAATATATTCTCTTTCCAATAAGCACATTGTGTTATTCAAACGCTTCTTGAAACGCGTGTATAGGTCTATTCATTTGATATTTTACATTTAAAATACGTCTAACTAGCTTAATTTGTTTTTGTCCTCATTTATTAGAATACATATTGTGATTATAACTAACATAACAATGAAATAATAAGTGTAAATATATTATAACTATCCTGAATAGGATACTTAACATTTTGTACAACAAAGGTTGTCTTCCAGTGTTACCTGCAAATAATGCATTAATATAATTTCGAACAACAATTCTTTTTGAAAAGAAGCTTAATTTTTTCACATTTTCTAGGAAAAATATATTAAAACTATTTATATTTTTGAAAAAGCATAATTCATGTCATATACTTATTCTTGCCATAATAAATCATGTGAAATGAAATGCTTATAAGGGAACCTAGAGATTAATTGCATTGAAGAATGTTTGAAAACCCCTTGTGTTTAATTATGTAGAACAATAAATTAATTTATTTATAAATTAAACGATTTACTGAAAACATGTATTTTCAGAATATATATTGATAATTTTTTTATATTATATTCAAGAAAGTACACAAAAATGAAAACTTTGTGTAATTATCAAAACTATCGTAAAATATTAAAATAAATAGATAAATATATGTGTCATTTATGGCATAGAGAATGTTTTAGTAGTTATTTATATAGTTGAATTATATTTCCAAGCGAATAAAAAAACGAAAAGTGTTACCTAAATATAGCATATAACAAAAATATATATAATAATTACATATTTAATTTTCTGAATTTTTAATGGACGTCGAAAAAGTAAAATAGTGACTTATTAAAAATTTTGTATATTCAGTTGAATAGAAGACTAAATATTACAAGATTAACTATTTTTCCTTTATGAAATTAACATATTAAACATTAAATGATATCTTTCATTTGAGACAGTCCTTATAGAAAAAATATACTTTAAATATCATATAGAATTGAAGAAGCAATGTAATATTGGTTTTAGCCGTAAAATCGATGAAATTACGATAAAATAACGGCTACCTTTAAATATATATACACCATAAAACAGAATTAATGGTTTTTTCTGATTATAATATGTACTATATTGTGTAAGTGTTTAAAATTTTTATAAACATAATATATAACTCTTTGGTATAAAATAACACAAAGGCAATGAAATTTCTCAAAATTGAATGTAGTAATATATAGTAACTTACAGATTAGTGTTACAAAAAATGATGTGTTAAATTAGTCATCAAAAAATCATAAGTAAAATTAATTTTACATGTATCATTTTAAAAACAATGTATTTACATATATACAAAATGTACCTAATATTATTTAAATAATAAAATGTTACATATATAGTAGTAGTATAAATACCTAGTGCTCATAATACACCTATTCTAATTTTTTCTAAGAATTACGTAGTCATTTTATGTATAAATCATTTTTACAATAATGAAATGAAGTAGTCTACAATTTACCCTTTATTTATTTTTTCCATGTTATTAAACATTATGAAATTCAAAATGCATCAACATAATAATAGTGAAACAAACACATAAGCAGTCTAAATTTTTTATTAAATCAAATTTTATTCGTATTTTTCCACTATAATTGTGTTACTTATAATAATTATATTGGACAAAAACAAAGAAATAAATAAGTTAAACAAGAAAACATATTTATCATTAAATATTTCGTGCCTTTATATATAAATAAAAGGAATATAAAGACATATATATAAAATAAAATATTCTAGAACAAATTTTATTTCATGCATTATTGTCACATAAATAAAATATTATAGGATTTTTATTTCATTTATTACCATTAATTATATGTAATTCCTTTATAGTTATGAATATTTTCGAAATTGTATATTCTAAATATATAGTTTTGTAAATTTATCTGAATATAGTATATTAATTAAATCAATAAGTATGTTATAAAATATAAGGAATTATATTAACTAAGTGAATGATTTTATAACTATCCTTATTTATTTTTATATGTGAAAATATTATATGTTCAAAGGTTATATACATTTATTTTCAAGACATCCGAATAACATTATAAAATATATATAAATTTATAACATTCCCGAATTTTATTAATTATTCTACCCTGCATTGAATAATGTTGTGTCATCATCCTAAAATATTAAATTCAATTTAAAAATGTATCAACCTATATAAGTAATATATTTTCGAAAAATATTTATGTAATTGGAAGAAAAGTAATGCTATCTACAATAAAAAAAAATCGATTAGAAATTGGTACTATAACTTTTATAGCATTTTCGGTAATCAATATAATATATTTGGTAAGGTAACAATAAATATCTAATATATATAGATGGATCCGATATTATTATTAAAGAATTTCAGAAAAATATTTGAAAGAAACATACAAAAAAAAATTTTATTATATTAAAAAAATTAGAGAAAATTTGAAATAATATTCTGAAATATTATTTATACACAATACTTTATATAAGAATTAAAAATATATAAATTCTCTATAATACGTGAGAACATTTTTAAATGTCTTAGTAACAACATGTCTCATGACAAAAATATTGCAGAAATGATATAGGTATAAGATGAAAAAAATATAAATGGCTTAAAAAAGTTTTAGTTCAGAAGGAAGAATTTAAAAGATATTCAATATCATCCTCAGAAATATCTTAAAATAAAGTATTTGAATGTCAACATACAGTTCAATGTTGAGTTGACCGAATATATTAAGCTAAGATTATATAAATTATTCCTAATTTTTATGAAATCAAAATTACTGTATATGAACTTTTAGCTCTTTATGTATCCAATAAAGCAATAAAGTCACTTACTTCCAAAAAAATTTTATCTGACAAAAATCGTGAATTCAAAATAATAATAAATGCCAAGCGAATCACTATAACTTCAAAACAAAGTATTAGTTAAGGATATAATTTAATATGTGAATTGAAAATGTGTGATATAGATTTAAATTCTATTCAAAATAATATAATTGTGTGATAAACTCGTTCTCAAAAAATTATATAAATCACTATCATGTTTATCAAGTCTTTGATTTTAAAAAATATAATTCTGTATTTTTACATGATGACAGTCATTATTCTCAAAAGTAATATGATGGTGACATGGTTCAAAATGATATTTATAAAAAATCTACTGATGCAGTAGAAGATAATAGTATATTTATAAGAGGTATATAAATTATAAATCAAATTTTTATATAGTAGATTCCTACTATGTGTATTCTAATGATATATATACTAATTTTTAAAATAAAAAAAATAAATCTGTAAGTATTATAAGTTAAAGTGTTGAAAGCACAAATATTTAGTATTCAATAATAGTATATTTAAGCACATTCTTAAAGAAAATAAAAACTAAACATTGAGCTGTATTATTTAAATCCAATTGTTTAAAAAAAATGAATTATTTTAATTATTTCCATATTAACTTAATCAGTAGTAAGAATACATATATAACATATATAGAAACAAATTAATTTTTAGTTTTTTAATTCAGGAATGAAATATTTACTTATTCATAAAATATTATACTAATTACGTTTAATTAAATACTACTATATGTTATAATAGCATAATATGTATAATATATTTATCAGTTATTTGCATAGTTTATGCCCATATAATTTATATTAACAAATTAAGAAAAATATAAATAGATATTAAAAAATAATATTTTATTTTTTACTATTGTAAATTAAAATTAAATATATATATTTCTCTATTTAATCAAAGAATCAAGTATTTTAGCTACCATTTTATTGGAGATACATATGGCTTATGTCATTCTAAAAATATAATATTATTTATTGCATTCTTAAAAATAAAATAAATATTTCACAAAACCTACAAAATATTTTTTTAGTTATAGATAACTTAGTATAAAGATGAATATATAATTCATAAGAGAATGTGATCCTTGACTTATCTAATAATGTGATATTATTATAATAGAGACACCTATTATTATTTAGCATAATGTGACATTAGAAATATAACAAAAACACATATTATTATAAAATTTATAATAACTTAATTTATATTGTTCCTATATGTATGTGGAAAAAATATTACCTAAATATGTCAACAATATTCATAAATTATATGATATTTACATTTTAACAAATATAACTAATTATGCAAAAAAATATGTAACATATAATTGCATTTCGTATGAGCATAATAATACGTTCAAATAAATATTATACTATTTATAAAAACTCTTGATTATAACAAAAATAAGTACATGTAAATCTGAAAAATGTATAATATTTATATCTAAATATTATTTATAGTATTATATAAGAAATATAACAAAATTTAACAAAAGAGAATATAAATTAAAAAATGAAAACGAAGAATTAAAAGTTAACATTCCACAAGCCTGAACCATAAGCCAGAAATATAAAAACATCATATGAAAAATATAAATAATTGAACATGTTAGACTCTATGTTACCTTAATACATGTATGAAAAAAATATTGTCGGCATAATAATGAAATAATTATTATAGGGTGAAATTTTTATTAATATATACATAAGGTAAATTTGTAATAATTTATATACATAAATGTACTTGTATAATAATAAATTACAATGAGACTTAAGCGCATTTATCTTGTTCTTTAATATTAATGAATACATACATACCACATAAAATATATAGGTAATACATATAAATTAGGTTAATTCATTTTCGAAGCATCACATAATTTTTTATATTTAAGTAAAATAATTTCTTTACATGGATCTCTAAATATTGTATATGCTTATATTTTCTCTATATATGTTATTAAATATATTATAGCATTGTAAAAATTATAATAGTGAAGAAATCAAATTTTATAATATATATTTTTAAATAAATATCATATATTAATATTATATTTTTTTCTTGTCTTTACATATATTATACAAAGCTGTATGTTTTTTATAGAAAATGTCACTTTTATCATTGGGCTTTATAAAACTGTGTTATTAATGTTTATTTTTTTAATATAAATGATGTTTTTAATTTATCAGTTGAAACAATTGAGAAAGTACCTTATATGTAATATATTATTATAATTTTACTCCTATAAAATTCAATATACAAGTGAATCATTAATATTTTTTCATTTTGTTTAAATTTAATATAAGGAATTTTTTCAATCACTTACTCAGTGTGTTTATGTTTTTAAAAGCTGATTTTTTGCATTATCAAAATTAAATACATTATTTAATTTACACTTAAATATATTTTATATTATCTGAAATGGTGATTCTAGATGTAAGTTCTACTAAAATTTATTTAAATTAAATCATTTTAATATATACATTTATAATTAATCATAATTATTATATGAATTACTTCAATATAATATAATTTATTTCAAACATTTCTTTTAACCCCCCCTTTAGTATAACTCAATATGTTTATTCCCCATATTTAGAGAAATTATAGACGCGCATAAAGGTGATGAAGGATCATATGTTACAAAAAAAGGATGTAATTATAACCTTTTAACGCCTTACCTTCTTTTAAAGGAAAATAATGCATGCAACGAAATTATGTTATATTTAGCAGATATACAAAGCATAAATGATAGCTATTTAAAAGAAGTCTCATGTAAGTACCTGTATTTTTTGGTATCACCTTATATTAAAGATAGGGATAATGATATAAATCATATCAAGAATATTTATTCCGCTTTTCTCAAAGGGTATAAATATTCTTTAGGCAATCATCCTGATCACATATGCATTAAATACAAGGATACTATTACAGTGGATGATTTGACAATATTAAATGCTATACATGATGTTCGTACGTATTTTAAAGAAATAAAAGATGTCAATAGGGAAAAATCATATAACGATGATTACTTTATTCAAACAGTAAATATAATTAAAAATCATTATAAGGAACCGATAAAAACAGTAGTTCAAAAAATATATAAAGAAAAATTAATACCATGCGAAAAGAGAAATATTTCATTTCCTATTTTAATTACAGTATTAGTAATGGTATTGATATGTGTCTTTTTATTCACTTTGTCTAAAGTAATAATATTTATATTCATTATTAATATTAAATCGTAATATTTTTCTCAATAACATAAGAACAAAATGTTCAAAATAAAAAAATTTATATTTAAAATATCTATATTTTTTCTACCTATTAGTACACCACATTAGGTTCATACATTCAAAATAATATAAGAATTTTAAAAAATAAAAGGAATAACTCGAATAATGAATGGAATATAATGCCACCTTCAGAAGTATCCAGAAATACTTATAGTGATGATGAATTTAATGTATTTTATAATTTTAACTAGTTTTACCATTAATTATACAATTAGAATAAAATATATTAGTAAAAACATTTAAGAAAAATATGTTGAGAAGAATATTCTCAACATATTCATATAAGTATGTTGGACCAATTATATTTTAACAAATAGAATATAGTTATTATTTTGTAAATTAAAAATATAGCCTTTTAAAAAATATATATTATTTAATGAAGTTAAAATCATTACTCGTTTAATATATAAATATGGAATACAAATACTATGAATTGCTTTCTTGGTTGTCCTAATTTTATAATAAAGTAAAAAGTATCAGTTAAGAAATTTTATATATATATTAAATCTAATATGTAACATAATGTAATTACGTGCATGGGAAATATAAAAAGTGTTAGTAATTTATTTCATTTTATATAAATTTTTTCTATATATAAGATTCTATATTATTATATACTTTTATTGAAACTTGTTACATTATGAAATATACTAATTAATAATAAATTCTAAAATATAAAATTTTTTATAATGTATATAACATGCATTAATTTGATAAGAATGTTTTGATGTATAATATTTATAATTTTATTATGGCAAATTTATTAAAAATAGGATGCATTAATATAGATAGAACAAAAATTATATAATATAGTTTATATATTAAATATTTTTATACTATAATATAATTTTTATCATTATGTTTTAATTATTGTATATATAATTTTTATTTTCCTTGGAATTATAAATTCTTACATAAAATTTATGTACAAAATATAAATATTGGTAATTGTAATTGATCTATATAAAATAATGTATAATATATAATCCTACAGTAAAAAATATATATAAATATAATATTACTGCTTTGGGATCATATATTTAATAAAAACATGCAAAATTTGATTGTTTGAAATTAACGAACACTTAAATGAACTAATAAACCTGTTATATGAGTAAAAACATTAGAATATGTTATTTATATAGAATAGCAAAATATGTCATTGGAATAATTATAATTATTCTCATTTATTAAGTTATATTTTAATATATAATCTTTTATTTTATGTAAAAACTTATTTTTAAAATTTAGCTTTAACTTATTATATTATTAACTGAATATATTAGACTTTCTAAAAATAAAAAATGCTGATTTAATACTATTTACACATTAAGAATAAAATATTATTAAAAAAATTTAATTATATTTTTAATGAGAAAAAATTATTATATACAAGTTTATATTTCATATATTTTATACATTTTATAAAAGAAACTATATTTCATTCAATTATTATATATCTGCGTATAATATCTCATCCTTCAGAAAAATGTATTGTAGATACATAATTTTTTATTTAATAATTTTGATTTATTTTTAAGAACAACATTATTTCCTTATGTAAATTAAAGATATTATTCAAGAAAATAACAATCGCATTGTTATTTTATAATATATATATTTTCTTCTGTTCATATGATTATGCAAATGTTTTTGTAGCTCAAGAGTAAATTTCATTTATATAATGAATCTAAAATTAATAATAACACATGGAAAAGCACAAGAAAAATATATGAACTGGATGAAGTGTAATAATCTCATGATGAATTTTTAAATAGATATCCCCAATTAACATATTATTTTCAAGAATTAAATAAATATGTAAACTACTATTTAATCATGTAGATTGCATATACTTGTATTATTAGCTATATAAGAACATTAAATATAATACTGTTTAATGTGTGAATGCTGAAAAAATTTATGTAAATTTTATAGATATTCTGAAAATCCCACCTGAAGATCTATGCAATTATTATAAGAATTAAATTAACGAATATATATTATTAAATCTCATATATATATATATATATTTTATGAAGAAAAAGCTTAATAATACAAAAAATATTGTTAAATTATGATAATTAACGCGTTTATACATATATGAAATACAGAGACGCATATAAATCTAGTATAGATTAATATTTCTACAATTGATTAGAAGATATTATGAAATAATATAATGAAACAGTGTCAATTTATAACTATAGAGATAACGTACACGAAATTTTATCCTCATTTCAAAAATACAATATAGAATATCTTATTACAACATTAACATTTGCAATATTATCACTATGCTTATTTTTTATTGTGCAACATTAATTATTATATATATATATTTATATTATATAAGCATATTTCAAATCAATTTTAAAATAAAAATGATTTATTTTTAAAGAGTTCAATCTTTATGACTAATGCTTTTTATCATGAGTTAGTTCACCCCTTATTGTATATACATAAGTCTTTCTATAAAAAACAAAAGAAACTCATGCAATAACGAATATGTTGAATTATATATAATAAAATCATTTGAATTACTCAGAAACATTCAAAGGAACAGAAGTAAAGTTTTCTATATAATTCGGCTTAGTTATGTCATTCAATGTGGAATAAGAAGAATATTATTAGCTCTAATTACATATAAACAGTTTTAAGCTAATTATATTGGGAACATGGTTTTTAATGATTTAATATGTGAAAGAATCAATGATTAAATAAAAAATATATGTTATGTTTAAAATTTAAAAATATGTGGCTCAAATAAAATAATTTTAATATGTTAAAAAACTTATTTACTTACAATATAAATGTTGAATAATAAAGAACATAAAATTTTTCCTATTACATGATATATTATTGTGTTTTTTGTAATAAATAAATTTATTAATATATAGAAACTAATCCTATAAGAAATACAATAATATATAACATGGTAATAAACAATAATATTTCATATTGTAGTAATTATTAAATATTTGTCATAAAATATTCACGATATTATATTTTATTATATAGTATTAATGAAATGAGCACATTAAAATATTATTTTTAGAGAAAATTATTAATTATATATCTCATTATATTTTTTGTAATATGCTTTAACAATAAAAACATTAGGTAACAAAAAATTTATAATACTAATATGAAAATTTTTTTTTCATATAAGTTTTATTAATAGTTTAATGACAACAATTATAATATATTTTTTAGATTTAATTTTCCTTTTACATATATATTTTATTTTATGTTATTTTATTTTTTTTTTTTTTTTTTATATTTAATTAATTCTGATAATTTTTACAATTTTTATAAATCTATGATTACCTATTATGTTTATTCATTCAAATATATATAATTGTATGTTATATTGTTCTTGTGGGATGCATCTTTTTATTATATACTCATAATAAAGTATAGGAATTCTATGAACATAACTTCGTTAATTAATATTCTGCTTTGTATTTATATTAAATTTCAACATGTTATAAAAATAAGTGATTATAATATAGTACCATATTAGGTATATCTTGGCCATTACCTAATTAAAACTTAATGAAAAAAATCCTTTACTATATTTTTAATTCAAATATAAATGTAATCTCAACATAAATATGACATATATAAAAAAAATTGTTAAAATAAGTAATGTAAAAAAATTCTCTTGTATTAAAAAATTAAATAAATGCATAATCTATTAGAATAAAACATCTAAAAGAAAAATAATAATATATGTTATAACACAATATATAAAAAAAGATTTGAATGTCCATATAAAATATTTAAAACACAATTGTATATAAAAAATAAATAAAAACGTTCTATACATAATAATTTATAAATATATTATTTTAAGCTTTATATGTAGTATATTGGGAGAATGAAGTAATATATGACAAAGTCCATAAATATAAGTTATTAATTATTAATATCATATATATAAGGATAGATTATATTTTTAGTATTAAAATATATAATAATATATATTATAAATTTATTTTAATTAATAATTAATTATTAGTATATGTATTAAATAATAGAAAATACACTATTATTAATATTTTTTAGCAATTTTTCTTATCATATAATCATTTTACATTATATGTAATCATATGAAATATTGAGCATTTTTTGTTTGTGTATTTATAAGATATGGTTTTACGAAAAAATATGTGTTTTATTCTGATGTTATAATATTTACAGTGATATGTTTCTAATATATGTTTTATTATGTTTTTAATTAAGAATACTTATTAAATCTATAATGATACATTTTTTCAGGAACAACGAGTGCAAATCATCACAATTTGATTTTTTTTTATATAAGTTATATTTGAGAAAAATACATCTTAATCATCTAAATATAAAATGCTTACATTATTTTTATATAGAATAATATATATTTACAGTTATTTAAATTCATATTAATAAGAATAATGCCTGAATGTAAAAATATAGTTCAATTAAAATCATTAGTTATATATTTATATTTAATTTTATATTAGAAGTTCTACCTACATTGCACAAATATTATAATTGTATAAAATATACAAAAAGTTCTTTATCTTTACTTAAAAGCATATACATGCATAAATATATAATTTTTTTATTTTTCGCGCAGTACAATTTAATGAGGGATAACAATGTAAAAAAATATTATAAAAAATTTGAGAATGGATGTTCCAATAATAAGAATGATATGTATTACTGTTCACCATTATTAGAAGAAGGAATTCATGCTGATGTTAAATATATATATTATAAAATTTATGCCATTAAGACTAAGTTAGAAACTCTTGATAATGAATTTACACCAGATGAAAAAAATTCAGATAAATTTTGTATTTATTTTAAATATTGGTTTTATGATCAAATAATAAGTAAAGCATTGGATGAGTCAAATACACAGAAGATTTTTGAGCTATTGTATAACTTAAATTTAAGTCACCATATTACTTGCCCACATAACACATTAAAAATAGAAGAAATAAAAACAATACAATTGTTGTTATATTACTATTTAGATTTAACATTGGATATAAATGAAGGAAGTGTATATAATATGTTATGTACGTATGGATTAAGAGATTGTCTTAATGAGTTTATTGATATATATCATAATTATATTATTAGTGAGGAAAAAAAATCTGATAATATCTGCAAAGAATTAGCTCAATTGTTGAATAATCACAGTAAGAAACATTTACCTATATTGGAATGCGAAGGGGGGACAGGCAAACCTAAAAGTGTTGTTCTAGACATTGAATCATATAGTAATCATAAAGGCGAAGGCACTTCTGATTCACAAAGTGAAAGAGGAATTATACATTATAGTATAACAACCATATTATCATTAGTTGGAGCATTAATTATTTTTTTCATTTTATACAAAGTAAGAATAAATTTAATTATGAAAGAAAATATCGTTTATAGTTCATGATTATACGCTTTTATATCAATTCCATAAGAGGAAAAATATGCCCCTATATTAATATTTATATTTTGCATATTAGATAATACACATCGATCGTTGGTTACACAACACCATATTAAAAATAAGAAACAAAAATCATAATCAGGAATATATTCAAAAAGAATTATATGAGAATATATCAAATCAAAATAATATAATATTTTACAATCAAGGGAAACATTGGTCTTATCATTATATATAAGATTTAATAATTCAGAATAATCATTTATAAAGTATAAATTTATGTAATCAATATTAATAAAAATAATTGTCTATTCCGCATCAATAATCTAAGGCCATAAATTTCTCATAAAATAAAGAAGAATAAAAGTAAAATATTCTAAAATAATAAAATTAAAAGTATAATGTAAATGAATAAAATTTAAGATAAATTTAAATTTCCTTGAGCATTTACCTCAAATAAATGAAAAATTAACTTTATAGCAATAAAAATAACCTGAGTTTCATATGAAAAATTTTATACCGAATTATTTGTATATATTAGTTTTATAATAATAGATTATTAATATTGCTTTTTTTTTATTATGAAAAAAAAGTAATATGCCATTTCCATTATTATATTCAATGTTCATGAATGAATGTCAAAAAAAAAATATATTTGGCGTGTATATTTTTCTTTTATTTTAATTATATATTATTCTATATCATGCCCTAAAATTTCTATTATTGTTAGAGTTTTAAAAGATTAGTATACTGAAAACATGAAGGACCGATTCAGCAAAAATTTGTTAAATGTTCAACGAAGATTGTTAGTTAGTCATTACTAAATCATAATCCAATATATGCTATTATTTGAATATTGAATTTTAAATCTATTTTAACCATATATTTCACAACTATTTCTTATATCTTCATAAAATATAGTTGAAACTAATATTAATAGAAACAATTCAAAAACTTATGAGAAATAATAAAATCGTTTTTATGATATTTTCATTTAATATATTAAAATAATTAATATATTCTTTTTATTATCTAATATATAAGAGATTATATTTTTATAAAAATTTTAAATTATTATATATATTGCAGATATTATTGTAAAGGTGAAGATTATATATATATATATTATTTCCGAAAATTTTATCTATCCAAGGTTTTCTTTGTTTTCTGTTATATATATTCATTGTGATCTATAAGAAATTCGTGATGTTTGTTTTATATAACTAGTAGTATGTATGTAATTGAATTATACTTAATGCAATGATAATACGTTAATAAATACATACATTTTAAATAATATGATAATATAAATGTAATTACATACATTTATATTTAAACATTATACAAATAAATTAAAATTTATAAGGATTATACATATTTATTCTATTATATATTATAGTATTTATGATCAGCTTTGAGATCATTGTTCTTCTTCAGTTTTTATTCACAGTTGTATATATAACTAATGATAAAGCAATTTTTTATAAGTTTAATTTATTTTTTATTATGTATTCATTTAATGAAATTAAATAAATCTTATACTTTTTTACAATATTATATTTTAAATCGTTACACAAGAGATATATATATTGGAAACATAAGAAGTAGAAATAGGATATAATAATACTATAGTATATGAAATATATATTTGTGTTTGATGTATTATAGTTAAATATATGTTATTATCTAACTATATTCATTCAGGATTATATTTTCATAGTATTATTATAATTTATTTATTAATATGCGTAATCATTACGTGTATATGATAATTAAATATAAATTAAAGTATATTATGAAAAAATGTAATATACTAAATATATTATAGATTATGTACTATTACATATCATATATAATTAAATGAACTTTTGATAATTCATGAATATATATAATATTTCTCAGATATCCTTAAAAATAATGTATATTAATAAATACATAAGTGCATATAGAAATTCCTTATTTAGTTATATATATATATAATTTATTTGATGGAAATTTACACAAAATACTTTTATTAATATATAATGATAAAAACATATATAACAAAAAAAGTATAATTGTATATATACTAAAAGCTGTATTTTATGAATCATACGTGTCATACCAAAAAAAAAAATTAATTTTTTTTATAGGATAATTATTTATTTTAAAAAATATATTCTATATATTTAATAATATATCTATTAAATGTGTATTATGTAGGTTTTGTATATATTTTTCAAAAGTATAAAAAAAAAAAAAAAAAAATTTATATATACACAACATTCTTATATATATATTATAATATATAAAATGAAAGTTAATTATTTAATTTATTTTCTTTAATATTTTTACAATTTTATGTATAATCAATTTTGGCTTAGTCTGTAAAATTTTTGTAATTTAGTAAATATAATTACCACATTATTTCGTAGAACACTAAATAAAATGTAAAGACTGTCAAAGCTTTATAATGTATATTATAAAATATGTAAGTACAAAATATTAGATGAATAAATAATTATAAAAATTTTTGTAATTAATAATTATGTTTCAATTATAATAATTTACATATGTTTTTCTATTTATAACATATATGTTCATTTAATGATTAATACTGCATAGGAAATAAAAATTTTATTCTTATCATTTTTTTGTTACAAAATTTCGTCCAATTTTTAAAAATTATTTAGAAGTAGTCCTTTTATTTTATAGGTGTATATAAGGGCTTCACTATCATCTTTGTATAGAATAATTAATTAAAGTTGTATTAGTAATATTAAAATGGTTGAAATAATATTAGTAAATTAATTATTATTTCTCTGTGAATTATGTTTTTTATTTTGTATATTGAATGATTTTAACATTTTATATTTAATATAATCATAACTTTTATTTTTCATATGCTTATCAATACCTTTCTTAATGCATTCAAATGCATTTCAAAAATGGAGGCTATCCATGGATTATTCATTACTAGTGATGCTCTTGTACATTATTACTTTAACATGAAAAAATGAACATTCTTTTACGACAGAAATCATATTTTTTTTTTTTATAACATTAATTCAAGTGTTTAAATCCTATAAGCTTCTACGTGCTTTTAATACTCAAAAAATATATTATCTAGGATATAATATTGATAATTTATTTAAGTACACCTATTCATATAAGTTTTTAAAATTCCCATTAAAATTTTATTATATAGTCTCTGTGTATTCCATTTATTAGATTATACATATATGGTTAATAATACAAATATGTTAAATGCTTTTTTTTTCTTATGAATTAGCAATTTAATAACTCTATTATACAAATACACAAACTTTTCATATCATATTTTCTTCTGAACATAGGATTCTATAAAATATACTATTTTTTTCAAATTCTATAATGCTACATATTACGCATTTAGGAAGCATCCTGTTCCAAGTTCATCCATAACTGTTTTAGGCTTTGGAAATAATAAATCTAACAATTCATAATAAAAATAATTTATGAATAATAATATTACAAACATGAGATACTTCTGATAAATTTTTTTATGTAATCACGCAAAAACGAATATATAAATATTATATTAATATAATCTAAGTTATAGTAATTAAGCAGTATAATAGTTTCTCATCTAAAATTATTCTATTGTAATTCTCAGCTATAAAATAAAAACATAATAAAATAAAGTATTATACAAATATACATTGTTATATATTAATGCATATAAAAAGACGAATTATACTTACTCTATATATCATGGTCCATGCAATCATGCAACAATTACGTGGTAGACTTGACAATTAAACTTTGCAAAACATAAAACATATTAGTAATTATTTATGATATATAATATGTATTATTTATTATATTAACGAAAAATCAAAAGTAAAAATATATTTTTTAGAAAAGCAGTCATAGTTTTGAATAAAATCAAATATAATTAGATATATTCCTGTATAAATATTATAAATATTTGCTAATACCATTATTTAAAAGAAAAAAATATAATAACATTAGTTATTATATATAACATATTTGTACAGATATATTTTTTTTTTCTTTATTATTTTATATTAGATAATAGTACATATAATTCAAAGGAAAACTATAAAATAACGAGGTAAATAATATTTAGAGATAAATCTATAGTAATTTCTTTATTCCTTTAAAAAATATATAAAAAAAAAAAAAAATAAACTATACATAAGAATATGTAAAGGATTTATTAACATATGAAATAACCATAATAAAAAAGTGACTAAATTAATCAAATTCTAAAAATAGGTACCAGTAATAAAGATCATTATTATATTATTAAGTTATTGTATATGCTATGTCATTAGAAGATAAAAAATGAAATAAAATAAATATATTCTAACATATATATAGATAATATGGATTATATTAAAATTAAAAATTAAGTACTAAATAACAGTTTATAAAAAGTTTTATTTTTTTATAAAATAACTATGTTTTTACAATGAAAATATATTATAAATAAGAAATATAATTATAGAATTAAAATACATATATATATTATCAGGCAAACTCCTACTGTTAATTTCATTATGTTATAAAATTAATAATATTATGTGGCCAATATAAATAGATAAATATATCGGTAAAATAAAAAACAATAATGAGTATAAATAATTTAATAAGAATGATTATAAAAATACTAAAACATATAAATGTAACAGTTTAAAATTTAAAATATTGTGAACCATACATTACTAATACCTAAAAACAATACCCAAGTCTTATATACTTTAGAATTTTATATCGTTTAGTGAATTGTCCATTAATTTACATTTATTAGAAGTTGTGACAAATAAATATACTTAATAAATGGTGAAACAAATTTAACCTTATAACTGTACAACATATCCTTTCGCTGTAGGTTTCTCTTTTAAAATAGAGAAATTAATATATTGATATATAATTTGCAGTATTCCTAATCCATATTTTCTTATTTTAATTATTCTTCTAATGTAATATTCATCAATTAATTCTATTCTTTTATGGAATATGATGAAGCATTACTATATGTATTGTTCATCATATGGAAGAATGCTGATATGCTATATTAATTTTTAAACTGTCGTTTTATAATTTTTTGTGTTCTTTCACATATATGTAACATAATGTCTAGCAATAGAGATATAAATATATGCTTTCCTTCGTTTTTAAAATTATAATTTATATTGCCTAATATAAAAATTCTATTATAAATAAAATGCAAGCATAAAACATTTTATATAA